CAAGTTGAAAAACAGGTTTGATTTTCCTGAACCATGGCTTATGATAACAGAGCAAAGAACTCTGGACAGGAGATAGAACAGGAAGAGAGTTTGGCAGGAAGTTCATTAACTGATCAAGAGGGCTTTTATTAACATTTGGTGACGAGAGAGAAAAAGATCCAGATAAAACTGAAAACTAGTTATGATAAAGATTCTTAGGTCTTAAAGCCAAGGACAAGGCTGGCTCTGTCGTACAGGGGTTAGTTGCTACTCAGAGGAAGTTGGGTCCCACATGGTGCAACGAGGTTTGGGTCCTGGGCCTGTCGAATCTGTGTTCAAGTGCCCAGGATCCTGACAGGATGGAGAGTTGGAAAAGAAAGGATTGTGGCATAACCAGATCTCACTGAGAAGTGGAGGTTCTCTCCCTCCCCCCTCCCCTTTGTTTCTCTCTTGCATTAAAAGAAAAGAAAAGAAAAGAAAAGAAAAGAAAAGAAAAGAAAAGAAAAGAAAAGAGGAAAGGAAAGGAAAGGAAAGGAAAGGAAAGGAAAGGAAAGGAAAGGAAAGGAAAGGAAAGGAAAGGAAAGGAAAGGAAAGGAAAGGAAAGGAAAGGAAGAAAGGAAGAAAGGAAGAAAAGAAAGAAAGAAAGAAAGAGAAAAAATAATGATAATGGTGAATATCTCCAGTTGAGCTCAGGGAAAAACAAGAAAGTTTTGATAACAAAATAGGATCTCAGATAGGGGCTAGGCATAGATAATAAAAGTAAATGCTATCATTCATATTAAAAGAGAGCATACTTTTAAAAAGAAGAATCTGGCTTTTAGGAAGTGGCTCGAGGGTAGAATATATTCTCCCAGCTAGAGTGTGTATCATGTGATAGAGACTCTGCTGCCCGAGAGAAGCACAATCAAATGAAGGGTGGAAAAACGACAATGTATAATAGAAACATCTTCCTACTTCCTACTGACATCTATAAGCAAAAATTAGATACATTAGGAGGATTAAAGAATGGAGAAATGGGGACCAGCAGTTGGCATAATGGCTATGTTGCTGGACTCTCATGTAGTCAACCCCAGTTCTAGTCCCGGACCAGTGTCTTAAACTCACGCTGGGCACATGTGCATGCGTTTCCAAGATCCCGAGAGGAGAATGGAGGAGAAGGGATTGTGGTGTGGCCATCCCCCCTCGGAGGGTGATTTCTCGCTTTCTGTCTCTGTCTCTCTGTCTTTCTGGCGAGAACACGTGCCCCATAGCAAAAGCCACTCAAGAAAGAAAATAACAAGAATAGAAAACTGGAATGATGAAACTCTGGAAATATTTATGATATAGAGGACATTTTGCAAATATAGACTAGAAAGCCGACATAATGAGATGCATACAAGCGACAGAGCAGGAAATCAAGCTGAAGACTAATGCTCTGGAAGCAGAGAAGCAAGTAAGTTCTCTCCTGCCTGAAAAAACGAGGAAACGGTGCTCTTACTAGGCAGGGCATGATAATAAATGAACAAACCGAATGATGACTCAGTTCAAACGTGTGAGGGGACTTCGAAACATTTGTGGGAAAATGAAATTAAAGTATGAGTTTATTTTGGTACCCCACATTTTTGAAATCCATGCATAGTTTTATTGTTTTTTCATAATATGCATTTTTCCATGAATACTTATTCTCTCTTTTTTTTTTTGTTTTGGAGAGGTTTGTTTTGCTATAGAGCTCGCTAGAAAGACAGAGAGAGCCAGAGAGACAGAAAGCGAGAAATCACCCAGCGTGTTTTTCAAGCTTCCAGGTCCACAACTCAAACCCCACAGTCGGCCATCTGGGATCCAGTCACCCCAACCACCACACCACCAGTTGACCTTCCTTTGTTATTTTTATACATGTGTATAAGAGATTTTAAAACTATTTTTTGAGAGATTTTTGCTATAGGGCGTGTGTGCTCGCCAGACAAAGAGACAGAGAGATAGAAAGCGAGAAATCACCCCCCAGGGGGGATGGCCATGCCGCAATCTCTTCTCCTCCATTCTCCTCTCAGGATCTTGGGCACACATGCACACGCGTCCAGTGTGAGTTTAAGCCACCGGGTCCGGGACTCGAATCGCGGTCGACTACATGGGAGTCCAGCAACATAGCCATTATGCTAACTGCTGACCATGTAGCCATTACGCTAACTACTCCCATGTAGTCGGCCACGATTCAAGTCCCGGACGCAGTGGCTTAAAACATGCCGGGTACATGTGCGTGCATGCCCAAGATCCCAAGAGGAGAATGGAGGAGAAGGGATTGCTGTGTGGCCATCCCCCTGGTTGGTGATTTCTCGCTTTCTATCTCTCTGTCTCTTATCTGTCTGGTGAGCACACGTGCCCTATAGCAAAAATCTCTCC